CAATGTATGCCTGTCTCCCCTCTGCAGTCCTGGCCAAGACAAAGGACGGCTTCTGTAACCCCTCCTTGTGTGATGCCACCACTGTCTTGTGCAATAGCAAAATGACAAAACCAGAACAGCTACCGCTGGCTGCTGACCAAGGGCCGCTATGTCACCACATCATCCCACATGATCCCCAAACTCTAAGGGGCCAGATTAAGAAACCGAGGCTCCAGGAGGTGGTACGGAAAATGGTCCCAGTTCACTCTGCTCAGTGGTGATGGAGCTAGGGTTTAAACCCTGGCGAGGTGGCTCCATGGCCCAGACCTGCCCATCCCGACTTCCAGATCAGACCTTAAGGACCTGGGTCTTGCTTTGGAATCAGATTTTTTCACAAAGTCCCTGTCCGCCTGGAGGATGACAAAGGAGTGAGACCCCAACATCCTGACCGAATGGCCTTTCGGGGTGGTCTGACCCCTCACCCTTGTGCTCCATCATGAAGAACAGACTCTCTCCTTCTGAGAACGGGTTCTCTCCCCTCAGCACCTCCACCCCGTTAGTTGCCTGAATTCTTTCTCTTTCGTCTCAGTCCTGACATCATTTTCCTCTAGAGCCACAGGCCTTACCTTCCAATTTTTAAGCTATTTTTGTGCCATTATTTACTTCAGTTTCCCAAAGTTTAAAAAAAAACCTGGCTCCTGATTGGTCAAATAAGTCTGAGAAAGGCAACTACCACATCTTCCTCGTGGGCTCCACAAAGCACGGATGCATATTAAAGGCACTGAGAAGTCCTGCAGGAAAGAGACCTGCTCCTCTCTGCTGGGCTAACCCGGGGTCTCCTGGACTTGATCGGCACAGAACCTGTTTTACACTGACTGCTCCTTCATACTCGCCTCACCCAGCACCTTCTTCTCTTCCTGAAGTTTAAGTGTTGGAGTTCCTCAGGCTTCAATCCTAAGCCCCCTTCTCCTCTCTCTACACGGTCCCCTAACTAATCCCAGCCAGGATCATGGCTCTAAATACCATCTGTGATGATTAGTTTACGGTTCAACTCAGCTGGGCTCTAGTACCCAGTTATTTAACCAAACACGAATCTAGGTCTTGCTGGGAAGGTATTTCGTAGATGTGCTTAACATCTACAGCCAGTTGACTTTAAGTGAAGGAGATTACTCTCGATAATGTGGGTGGGCCTCATCCAAAACTTTCCAAGGCCTTAAGAGCAAATACTGAGGTTTCCTGGAGAAGAAAAAGGGGAAATTCTGCTCAAGACTGTGACATCAACCCTTGCCTGAGTTTCCAGCCTGCTGGCCTGCCTTACAGACTTTGGACTTGTCAGCCCCCACAATCACACAAGCCAATTCCCTGCAATAAATATCTTGATTGACAGATAGATATAGATAGATATAAATAGATATGGATAGATGATAGATAGATGATAGCTAGCTAGCTAGCTAGCTAGCTAGCTAGCTAGATAGATAGATAGATAGATAGATAGATAGATAGATGGTAGATAGAAAGATGGATGGATAAATAGATAGCTAGATAGGTGATAGGTAGATAGATGGATGGATGGATGGATAGATAGATAGATAGATAGATACATATCCTGTCGGTTCTATTTCTCTGGAGAGCCCAGGCTGATAAGGTATCTATGCCAAGAACTCCCAAATGTTCTCTCTCTCCTGAGGAGCCGTGCCTGATCCAAATACCTACTGGAGAGCGCCATGTAGGTATTTCATGCGTATCTCCAACTGAAGTCCAACACCAACCCATTTCATTCTCTCCTTTTAAAACTTAATTTTCCCTTCATCTTCTCCACCCAGTGGCTCTAGCCAGAAGCCTAGAAACATCTTTGATTCTTCCCTCTTCCCACATGCCATGCACCACCAAGTGCTCCTGGTTCCACCTCCGGATCCATCCACATGTCCATCATCTCTCCAGTCTTGAACGCTTCCAATCCATTTGCCACACAAGAGCTGGGTGATCTTCTCAAACGCTTAAAAACCTTTAGTGGCCTCCCGTTTCTGGTGGATGCGGTGATGCTCCACCTGAATGCTCTTTCAGGAAGGAAGGACGTGTTACCCAGGTGCCAGGAACGCTGCCGGCGGACGTGCTCAGCTGAGAGCACTGCTTCACCCAGGGCCATGCCTCTTTCCAGGGCATCCCGCATCTGATGACTGAAGAAGGAAGGGAGGCCCAGCCCTCTTGCCCCCAACTCAGACAGCTTTGAAAGGTCATCCCATCCGAGAATCTTCATAGTCAGCTGAGGCTTCTCTGAAGACTGCCCTGAGGCTCAGTTTCTCCCTTTGCCCAATGCTTTTCCCTTCCCTTCACTGTCACAGGTACTGACCCCTTAGAACTCCTGCAACCTGCAATACCATTGGACCTAGAAAACTCCAAGCTCCATAAGGTGCTCTCCCAGGCTCTGTCTGAGCTGCCCCTGCCCACCCTCCACCTCCTCTCTAGCTGTTTACCCCCATGCACTCCTTCTGTGTTTGTGCCTTCGGTTCCTCAAGCACACCAAGCTGTCGCAGCCTCAGGACCTTTGCCTATGCTGCCCCCTCTGCCTGCATTGGGCTCCTCCTACTCTATAGCTAGTTTCTTCTCATAATCCAATTTTTCCCTCTGCTCCCTGACCTCCCTAAGTTTGAATCCTCACACCCTCTCCATTTTGTGGAACACTGCTTCCTGTTCTGTTTCTTCATGGAACTCACCACAATTACAATTATATGTGACTTTCTCTGTTTGCTTGTCCATCTCTGTCACAGGTTCGTGCCCCCAGGAGGGCTGGAACAGTCAAGGGTGACCCTAAGTCTTCAAGAGAAGTGAAGGTTATCTTCAGCATTTTCAGTTCCTCTGTAAGCAGAGTTGTGTGGCTCATAGGAGGATTCCCGATCATGGGGACCAACATGATTTATGTTGAAGAGAAATGCTCACAGCATCAATTCCATCTCTATTAAAAACATCAGAGGAGAACTAAGAAAAACTAATTTTATTTCATGCCCCCTTTTTTTGCTATACACACTAGGCTGACTGAAAAATGATGTAAGAAGTTTTCCATATGGGCGCTATTTACCGGATTACACAGAGTAAGGTCATAAAACTGGGAAAAGATACATCAACACACACAAATTCATCTTATCCTCTGAACATCTATGTGACACAATATTGACACTTTTCACACTTTTATTTGATCTTCACAACAGCACTTAAGTAGGCATTCATTCCCAGATGAAGAAACTGAGAGTCAGAGCATTCCCAGGACTGCCTGGGTCCCCCAGCTCTTTTCTGGGGGAGTCTTGCAGGTGGGCTGGCTCCCTCTCTCTGTATCTGTGCTCTCAGAGAACTCTTCACTTTGGGCTGAAACTGTTTAATTCTCTTCCCTTCACTAAGCCAAGAGACTTTTGAGAGCACACATGCACAGGGCCTGCCCAAGGGGACAGGCCAAGTGGTCCTCATAGAAAGAATGAGTAAATGGGGGCATGGGGCTTGAACCTGGGCTTTCTGACTCCAAGTTGCAAGTGAGCCTTCCCCAAACACATTTGTGAGCATGCCTGTTTATAATACGCATCCTGGTCCTTCCACCTATGACGTTTTTCTCAGCTTGCCTGCCTTTCAGACTCCTGTTCATCTCTCAAAACCCAGTTCAAATATCCCTCCACCGTGAATTCTTCCCGGCCTCTACCTCGAGCAGAATTCAATTCTTTCAGTCTTCAGACTCAGACAGAGCCTTGGCTCTTCCTTGCCACTTTGCATTCCACGACCTATAGTCACCAAATGTCTGCCTGCCTTTGTTCTCAGCCAGACAGAGAGCCGCTCAAGGGGAGGACAGGGAGAGGGCTGTCTTTATCTCTGTCCCCCCGTGCCTACACCTGGCACCCACAAGGGGTTTGGGACATGTGTGTTGACGTAGAGACAAACTATTGATATTCGTAGATATAAATAGAGTTATTCATTCATTCAGCAAATATTTATGGAGTGTGTCAGTCCTGTTGTAGGAGTTGGTCATATGACTCTAACAAAAAGAGATAAACCCCTTGCCTGGTGAAGCCCGTGTTCTAATAGGGGAGACAGGAAGTAAAAAATAAACAGATGAATGTTTCCAGGTGGTGATAATGGCTATGATGAACAAGGAGCAAGGAGGGGGCAGGAGGGGAAGTTAGAGGAGGGAGGTTATTTCGGGCAAGAGGAGGGGAGGTTATTTCACGGAAGGATCTCTGATAAGGGGGATTCATGGGGAATGGAAGGACCTGAGGGCTGTGGCTCTCTATGGGAAGGGTGCTCCAGGCAGAGGCAAGGGCCAGTGCAAAGGCTCTGAAGTGGGAGAGGATGTGGCATGTTCAAAACAGAGCGAGGAGGCCAGGGGAGCAGGTGGAGACAGTGAGACGGACGCTCAGAAAGGCAGCGGGGGCGGGCACATGTGGCCTTGTGGGCCACTGTCAGGCTTAGTGTTTTCCTGTGCCCAAGAAAGCACATGGAGGTTTTCAAGCAGAGACACGCCATGGTGTGACTCAGGCTTTAGGACAGACAAGAACACAGCTGATCATCCCCGGGTACAGGGCCCTGCCGAGTGTCGCCCCTGGGGGGGTTTCCTGAGCGCCAGTGGGTGCCAGGCCCCAGGCTGTGTTAGCTCATGGGGTTCTCCCGACTGGGAGGGTCTGGTGAGCCCCACTGCCAGGGGAGAAAGACTTCGTCACCCAAAGCAGGGCCAACTCGGGGACAGAGAATTTTAAGTGGATGTTTTTAAACTTGCGAAGTCCATGGAGGCCCTGGCCCAGCGGTGTTTTTCCTGCCAAGTGGCCGGTGCCCAGAGCCCTTCACTTCTAAATGACTATCAACTCAGACCAGCTGCCTGAATGCCCAGGACACACTCAAGGCGACAGCTGTCACTCTGTAGATTTCCAGGTGTTTGTGTTTTGTTAAACCTACATTTAGGATTTTATTTTTATCCCCCTGCATCTTGACACCTGCCTCCCTCCCCCTCCACCCCTCCCCCTCCACCCCTCCCCCTTTCTGGGCAGGCCACCTGCTCTTCTACGGTGGTCTCTGCCACACTCGGCTGCAGGTGTACGCTCGCTCACCCGCCTCGTCCAGCAGAGCATGAGCAGCCCCAGGGCGGACACAGAGCCTTCTTCTCTCTGCCCCCTGGCACCCAGCACTCACCTGGCACCACACAGGTGCTCCCTATGTGTTTGCAGAACAGAAGGATGAACGTAGAGGAGCAGAGGGTTACAATAGAACTTGAATGATGGATGGGCATCGAGCACGGCGAGAGGGGCGGCGAGGTCATTTCTAGCAGACGCTCACAGGAGGCGAGTCCAGGTGCATTAGGAGCCCGTGAGCCACCCCTCGCAGCCGGAACAGAGGACCCAGGGTGGAGGGTAGCTCTGGGTGTCACAGCTGGACCATGGAGGAGTCTGTGATCCCAAGAGGTTGGGCTGTTGTGCCGTGAAGTGACAACATCCAAGTGCTCTTGGGATACTGATCTAGCACAAGAACAGACTGAAGGAAAAAAATCAGAAAGCAAGGAGATTGGTTTGGAGATCTTTGTTGTAGACGTGTTTGTCGCCTGAGCGTCTAAACCTAAGATAGGAAGGAAGGCTTGAGCCGAGTGAAAGGGCACCAGCTGCCCTTAATCCTGGAGAGAAATTGGCCCACTTTGGTTTTCTTTCTTTCAACTACAAGTGGAGGTAATAATAGAGACACCAGATGTGGTAAGGACTACCAACCCTGAGGACCCTTAGCCTATAAATGCTATTTGTAGAGATGTGCTGAATGAAATATACCAGAATCTTTCACCTTGAAGAACCTGCTGGATGTGACTAGAAAGGAGAGGAGACAAAGTGATTCCAGGACTCAGTGTGACAGCGGGGACTATGACCCATACGTCCCCAAGTTCCTCCAACTCCAGCTCACACTTTCCATGAATATGCATTGAGCACAGTCCAAACCCACCGGTACCCGGGGGAGTCCAGCTGGCCGGAGTCCCCCTACATTAGCATTCAGGACAATCCCGGGGATGGTTGGCCTGTCCCACCTGGGTGGCCAGGCTGTCCTCAATTTCTAGATGGCAGCCCTGGGTCCTCTACTGGCAGCCTCTTCATGCCTTATAACAGTCTCTGTGCTGTGTGCTCTCCCGACACGCTCCCCTCCAAGTGCCCCGGTACCCAGGGGACTTTCATCAAGTATGGCTCACAGCAGACTATTCCTGCTCACCCTCAGCCTCCTCCCCTCTTCTCCACGTTATAGGGGCCTGTTGACCCTCCACAGACTCAGGGTTCCCTCACCCTGCCCTCAGCCCCAAGATTCAGCTCCCACGCTCCACAGCCCCAGCCTCCTCCCCTGGACCAAGATCTGCTTCCCATTTCCCATCCTGGGTGAGCAATAGCGGGAACATTCATTCTCTTAAGAGAATTTTCCTTTCCACCCCTGCCCTGGGGCCCCCATAACCTTGGCAAGACTGCCACAGAGTCATTTGCAGAAGTCCAGCTTACTCAGCCCTCACTAGTGGCGTGCGGGGTACTGACAGTCCTGGACACACGGCCCTGCCACGCACTGGCCGCTTCTCACAGTCTGTCCTCCCCATAAGGAGAAGCCAAGATCCCACCTCCCAGCAGAACTGGTCTCAGGATCTCCTGCGAGTAAATACATGCTCGGGCAGGAAGACATCTCCTAAAGAACAGGCACGCCTCAGAAACAGGCCAGTCTCAACTCATATTGAAGGAAGAAAAGCCAGCCACTTTCTGCAAAGCAGGAGTCTGGCTGAGAGACCCCAATCTACATTACTCATTAGGAAGGACTAGGATTTGGAGCTTTTCCTTGGTTAAAATCTACCCCAAAATGAGGGCAGGCACTCGTCTCACATCTGCAGGACTAAAAAATCTGAGGTCTCTCCTGACATGAAGGGACCTTCCCCAAAGATAAATTCCAGCTTCCTCCCTAAAACACACATCTGCTACTGATCCTTGGAGTGGTCTTTTTTTACCCCCTGCTTCCACAATTTTAAGATGTACAGCAACAGGAGAAAACTGCTAGAAAATTCTAAAGTGCAGTTTGTCCCCGTTGAGGTGTCAGTGACAGAAAAGGGAAACATGACGAGAAGGACAGACTCTGAAGACAAGGGGGACATTTCTGCTCCAGACATGTTGGGTTCAAGGTGACACCAAGAGGTGCAGATGGAACGTCCAAGAGGCAGGACGAGGGCGTGGGGGGCGCTGAGGGCCTGCTATTGAGGAATCACCTTTCCAGAAGCCAGAATTCAAGCCCTGCTATGGAAGCGTTCTCCTGCACTTAGGGAGGGAGCTTGAAATGTCTTAATTTTTAGGAGCAAAGCTAGAAGATGAGTGGCGTTCGGTTAAAGGATCTTGAGGCCTGGCTCTCAAAGAAAGCCAGAAATTTCTTACTGTCTGAACATGAGGGCTTGAGTAGATCAATTTAATATACACAGACTTACATCAAAAACAGACTTCAGAACTGCCAGGGAAGATTAAAAAGTGCATCTGATCTTACTCAACTCTGGACAGGAGTCGAATTTTTCCTAGCTCAGTGTTTGTTCAATGGGGTCCACCCTGATGGATTCTTGGCGACGTATCCTTCATGACCAAAATTCAAGAGGGGACATTCAAGTCAGCTCCCGGGAAAGCTGCCGCGGAACCCCAGGCATTCAGAAGCCCGGGGAATGGGGCAAAGTCATCACTCAGTGTCCCACTGATGCTTGAGAGGCTCGTGGGGACTAGATGATGCTGAAATGTGTTTTAAGGGCACGTTGGCCAATGTACCCTTCTTGGGCAGGACCGCGGGTGTCTCCAGCTGCTACCAAAGTAAAGAGGGAGGTAAGAGCTGAATAATCTCTTGCCAGCCACAAAGAGCAAAGCAGTTTTCCTTTCAAAACCCCAACTTGCTTCCTCCGTCTGAAAGACTCACTTTTGGTAATCCGTCCAATGACATCATTGGAGTGAGCCAAGCTTATGCAATTTAAGGCCACTCCATTTCTATAGCGCTTCTCAGGACAAACAACACCTCCGAAGGCAACTCTCGCCATCAGAAAACCCAGCTGAAGTTGTGAGCTCTTTCATTTTCTGAGTAAGTAAATGGCCATCTTTTTTTGTCTCTTTTGAGAGTAAACTATAAGAGGGGATCGGTGTCTCTTAGAAAAAAACAAAAAAAGGCTTCCTTTTACAGCTAACCATTGGCAAATTTTCAGCTTTCTGTAAGTGTATTTTTTTTTAAACGTAGTTCTCAATCAATGTAAGAGACTTGTATTCCATGCCTACTTGGGGTTTTAGTTGTTTTTGTAGAAGAGAAGGAGGAAGGAGAGTGTTTGGAACAGCATGTGAAGGTTCCAGCAGCTCTTTATATCAAGATCAAGAGGCTGAACACAGCCCTCAGGGCTCTGTGTGGATTCTGACCAGTTACAGTCTACAAATCTGCTTTATAAAAATCAAATTGGTTTCCCCAGGATCGCTCACAAGATTTCATGAGGCCAAGAACTGGTTGGGTTATTTGTGGCTTGAAAAAAGCATCGTATTAGGTGACTGGGTTGACATTCTTTAATATCTGTGTCTATATTTCAAAAGCCTTTATCATCACCTCACTGTTGAGATTGGAATTAATTTGAAGGCTGATTTGTTGAAGAAAATCATGCTGAGTCCCCAGGAGCACATGCCAATGTGAAAATGGGCAGAATTCGGAAAATATCACATAGAAATTACAGAATGTCACCTCTGAGATTTACAAATAGGATCAAATATTATTAATAATGGCAATAGTTGCTGTTTATTGAGCACCTACTATGTACCAGGCAAATATCAGAGCTAAAACTAAGAACCAGAGAAGGAAGACGTCCCCTCTCTGGCTGACTTTATATAAATACAGGCAGCAGCTGATGAAGACAACCACTCTAAAAATAAGCCCAGCTTGAGCAGACACATGCTGTGGGTTACAGTCGCCATGGCCACAGCCAGCTCCCTTGAGAAGGAATGCAGCGTCTGCTGACCCGATCAGATTCAAGCTGCAGTCAGAGGTCTCTGCTGGTGGCATAGGTGGCAGTTCCTGATTCCCTGGGCAGGGTGCAGTCTCACCCCCTGTATTAGTTTCCTGTTGCTGCTGTAATAAATTAGCACAAACTTAGTGGCTGAAAACAACAGAGATTTATTATCTTACAGTTCTGAAGTCAGAAGTTTAAACTCAATCTCATTGGCTAGAGTCCAGGTGTCAGCAGGCTGTGTTTCTTCTGGAGGCTCTAGGAAAGAATCTGTTTCTTGCCTTTTCTAGCTTCTAGAAGCCACCTGCATTCCTTGGCTCATGTCCCCTTCTCCATCTTCAAAGCCAGCAGCAGAGCATCTTCTAATCTCTCTCTCACTCTGACCCTCCTGCACCCCTCTTGCAGTTAAAAGGACTCGTGATTACACTGAGCCCACCTCCATCATCCAGGATCATCTCCCCATCTCAAGATCCTTAACTTAATCACACCTGCAAGGTATGGTATGGTACCTGTAAGGTAACATATTTCAGGTTCCAGGGACTAGGACATAGACATCTTTGGGGGCCATAGTTCTGCCGACCCCACCTCCCTTCAGCCCCTTTCCCTGGGTGCAGCCCATCCTTCGGTCTGGTGGTGCCTGGGCAGTTGCCGCCTCTTGCTGCCCTTTGTGGTCTCTCAGGAGGACACAGAAGCTGGGCCCCGTCCACTGTCCCGCAAGAGCCATCCTTTCCTGCCCAGGCGCCCACACTTCAGAAGGGACACGGACACCCCTTGCGTGATCAAGGGCACCTGAGGAAGAAAAGGGAGGGGAGCACAGCAGACCACATTGGTGGGCTCTTTCAGCCTCCATGATGAACCCCCTCCCCCTCTTCCAGTCCCTTCTTAAACCCCCTGCTGGTAAAAGCTCCGTGTGCTGGGTCCCAGGTCCCCTGAACTGTCCCGTAGCTCGGGAACTGCAGAAAAGGGGTCTCCTCGGTACTTTCCAACCTCTTGTTACACCAGGGTAGTCCACATGAAGCTTGTCTACACTCAGAGGGACCGGGATCCTTTATCATTACCCTCGTCGTTACTACTACTATAGTTACTGTCATTATCATTGCTGTAGTGGTCATCATTAAAGCCTTGTATTTGATGCTTTACAACCTGTGAAGGGATTTGACATGCATGGTCTCATTCAAGCCTCACAATGACTCTGCAGTAGCCACCATTATTCCTATTTTACAGATGAGAAAACTGAGGCTCAGAGAAGTTACTTGACCTGCCCAGAATCACAGGGTTTGGGGACCCCAGGATGCAAACCCAAGTTCCTTGACTCCAGGGAAGTCACAGCATGCTGTGTGAAAGAGGCCTGGACTCTGAGCTGGGCCTAGAAGCAGAGCTGTGTACAAATGGACTGGCTCATATCGCCAGGCAAACCTGGGCAGGTCACGTCACTGTGCTTCACCTCAGTTTGCTCACCTGTACAATGGGCGCAAAGATACCCATCCTTCCTCCCAGACATGTGTCAGGATCGAGTTACCTAAAGCCCAGCGGATCACAGGTGTGGCTGATATTGGAGGGTCAGAGCTGGGCAGCAGGGTCTCACCCTGCAGCCCCAGCGTGGGGGAAGATTGAGGCTGAGATGAAGATGTCGTGTGGGTTTCCCTTGAGACATAGAACTTCCTCAGCACGTGCAGAGACATGAACAGGCAAGAATGACGTGAGGCCCAACAGCAGTCTCAGGAAGCAGCTCCCGTGTGTGTGTCATACAAGGGGGCTTCTGGAGTGGCCCACCCGGCATCTGAGAAATCAGGTTTGCTGGGTGTATTGGTTTCCTGTGGCTGCCATAACAAATTACCACAAACTGGGTGGTTTATTTTTTTTTAATGCGGTAACATTGGTCTATAACGTTATATAAATTTCAGGTGTTCATCATTATACTTCTATTTCTGCATAGATTACATCATTTTCCCCACCCAAAGTCTAATTACAATCCATCACCGCACACATGTGCCTAATTACCCCTGTCACCTTCCTCCCTCCCTCCTTCCCCTCTGGTAACCACCAATCCAATCTCTGTCTCTCTGTGTTTGTTTGTTGTTTTTATCTTCTACTTATGAGTGAGATCATACGGTATTTGACTTTCTCCCTCTGACTTATTTCACTTTGCATAATACCCTCAATGTCCATCCACGTTGTCACAAATGGCTGGATTTCATCGTTTCTTATGGCTGAGTAGTATTCCACTGTGTATATATACCACATCTTCTTTATCCATTCGTCTCTTGATGGGCACCTAGGTTGCTTTCAAGCCTTGGCTATTGTGAATAATGCTGCAATGAACACAGGGGTGCATGTATCTTTATGCATTGATGTTTTCAAGTTCTTTGGATAAATACCCAGCAGTGGAATAGCTGGATCATATGGTAGTTCTATTCTTAATTTTTTGAGGAATCTCCATACTGTTTTCCATAGTGGCTGCACCAGTTTGCACTCCCACCAGCAGTGTATGAGAGTTCCCTTCTCGCCACATCCTCTCCAACACATGTTGTTTCCTCTGTTGTTAATTGTAGCCATTCTGACTGGCATGAGGTGATATCTCATTGTAGTTTTGATTTGCATTTCCCTGATAGTTAATGATGTTGAACATCTTTTCATGTGCCTGTTGGCCATCGGTAGATCTTCTTTGGAGAAATATCTGTTCAGATCTTTTGCTCATTTTTATTTTTTTATTTTTTTTATTTTGTTTTTTGTGAGGAAGATCAGCCCTGAGCTAACATCCAATGGCAGTCCTCCTCTTTTTTTGCTGAGGAAGACTGGCACTGGGCTAACATCCATGCCCATCTTCCTCTACTTTATATGGGACGCCACCACAGCATGGCTTGACAAGCAGGGCATCGGTGCGCGCCCTGGATCCGAATCTACGAACCCCGGGCCACCGAAGCGGATGGCGCACTTAATCACTGTGCCACCAGGCGGACCCCACAGATCTTTTGCCCATTTTTTAATTGGCTTGTTAGTTTTTTTGTTGTTGATGTGTATGAGTTCTTTATATATTTTAGATATTAACCCCTATCAGATATATGATTTGCAAATATCTTCTCCTAATTGTTGGGTTGCCTTTTCGTTTTGTTGATGGCTTCCTTTGCTGTGCAGAAGGTTTTTAGTTTGATGTAGTCAAACTGGGTGGTTTAAAGCAAGTTGGTTATATTATATTGATGAAGTTATAAAGCAGTTCTAGTCAAAAACTATTTTCAAAAAAATTATGTATTTAACTATGTATATATATACACACAACAACAAATTGTTATATAGATGGAGTTATAAAGTAGTTCTAGTCAAAAATATATTTTAAAAAATATGTCTTTAAATATGTATATACACCTACATATATTAAAGCAAAATAAAACACATTCTTTGTGTTAATTAACTGAACTTTGAAAAATAACATAAGCAAAATTATTATTCTTGGTACACATCCATGTGCTACAATCAGTTTCTTAGGCTTATACCTGACTCTAATATGTCATTGACATTTTCCTAAGAATGTATTTTTCTTTCATTGTGGTCTTACTATTTTTCATTATTCCACACAATTGCCTGAAATCTTTTTCTTCAAATTTTACAGTTAATAAATTTAAATTAGCACCTTCAATTGACTCTTCTCTTGGACCAGAATATATTAAATTAAGAAAATATTTCCTGTGCAAGTGCTGAGGGACCTGATACGTCCTGAGCAAATTCTGCCAAGCAGAGGCTATTCTCAAATCCCATTCTTTGCATATGGAATTATGTAAATATCTCAGCCCAGATATTTTCACAGGTGCTGTTTTTATGTCTTAGTTCTAGTTCCTTTCTTAAACGAATATTTTTACCAGATTAAACTCTTCATATAAGTTGTCGCTATTTATAATTTTTGAACCCTTTGTCAAAGTTAGATGCTGCAAATCATAGGCTTTCTCAATTTCATCTCATTTCTGCACAGAATATGAATTTATCCAATTGAAAAGATTCTTCCTACAAATTGAGATATTCCAAAGCTCATTATAGAATTTTAAAATTAAAATTAAATTGCCGTTTAAGCTCTCATCTCTTTATTTGATCATTTCTTCCCTTGCTCTTTAGCCATACATTTCAGTTATTTCCTGCATAAAAGCTTTGTTTTCAATAATTATAATCTGCTAAAAGCTTTAAAAGCTGATGTTTTGGCGCTCCGTGTACTGAATACCTTGATTAAAGATTTTCAATTGATTTGGAACAAAATTCAACAAAAATTTAGAGCTCTGCTTTAACAAACAGTTTAATAACATTTTAAGGCACTTAGATTCAATGTCTTCTAAAATTGATTTAACAACGGGCAGCCAAGAAAGACAACACATCTAAAGTTGTTTTTTTTCAATTTATCATCAATTTCATCACCTTTTGTAGTTCAGTAACTATGTTTCAAAATTTTGTAAATTTTTTCAACTATAACTTCCATTTCAATTGGTAGAATATTGAAACTTATTTATATGCAATTACAAATTGTGTGTGCACTGTGACCTGTCTAAAGTACATTTCTGTTTCAACAGTCTCTTAATTTAGTAAGAACATTGTTGTTACCATGACACTGTGCCCACCAAAATATGTAAGTGTGTTATCATCACAAAAATTCAACAACTGTATTCCCGATGTGAACAATTTAAACTGAACTTAGAATAGCATTCACAAAAAAGTCTATTGTTTCGCTTCTCCAGAATGAACTTCTGAAAGCTTTGCTTTGATTCCATGACCTGGATGAAAGAATTGAATCATGATCAGAATTGACTGATTTTTCTATTTGAAGAATCTGAGGATACTGATATCAAGCGGCACCATCTCACTGCCTGTGGAGTTTGTGTGGAGCTGACACACAACCAGCCAGCACTTCCATTGCTGTACACGCACAAGATAAGTTAGAACTAAAAATGAGCTGAATTAACTTAAAGAATAGTTGCTTGATCTAAGTAAAAAATCATGCCTCCCGGAGTGACCTGTAACAGCATCTTCCGCAGCTATATGGGTGAAGTCGAGGTCTTAGGGCACGAACTTTTAAAATTACTAACTTCTGAAGTGGCAACTTTGTGTCTTAGGTTTTCTTGTGGTCAGTGAAATCACTAAGGCCCCCACAGTGATGTAAACATCAACAAACGTTTTGCGCAACTTACGCGTTCCTCATCAACTTTCTTGAGAAACAGAAGTTCAAGACTTAAATTTTCATTAAGCATTCATTTTTTGGCTCATCGATGCCAGAAGGGCTTATTGCAAAATTTAAAAGTATTGCCAAATAACAAAATAAAGAGTGAGTTGTGGATTTATACCCTGCAATAAATGACAAAAGTATTCTAACTCCTCCACATGTTCTAGGTTAGAACTCTATATGCCACAGATATTTCACAGCCACCTAACCCATATTTTCCCATGTTTCCCACTGACCTGTCAACTGGCAGCCCAGCAGCATATTCTCTTCTCTGTCTACACTCTCCCTTGGTGATTTCACCCAGTCTTGTGGCTTTAAATACCATCTATGTGATTACAACCCCCAATTATGTATCATTATCTCAGACCTGGTCTCTGAATACCGGACTTGAACATCTAATTGCCCACTGGACATCCCCACTTGATGTCCAATAGACCTCTCAACCTTCACATGTCCAAAAGTGAACTCCTGATCTCCTCCCCCCAAAAAACCCTCCTCCATCTTCACTCTGTCATCTCCACTCATTTGATCGCAGCTTTGTATTTCCAGGTGCTCAGGCCAAAAATCTTAGCATCATCCAACTCCTCCTTTCTCACAACCTATATCTATTTGAAAATCATGGCGGTACTACCTTCAGAATAAATCTAGAACCTGACCACATCTCACCATCTCCACTGCTGCTCCTTCCCTGCTAATGTATTTATTCAGTGTGTTTATTGTTATTGACTCTCTCCTCCCGCTAGGCTAGAAGCACCCTGAGGGCAGGGGGTTTGCCTGTTTGATTCACTGCTGTGTCCCAAACACCTAGAACACCTGTGCCTGGCACAGAGTCGGTGCCCAGTAAATACTTGTTTAGTGGATAAATGCCCGGAGGAACTGGTGAATTGCTCCCTGGTGTGAATGGCACAGTGAGTGAGTTACAGACAGTGTCACAGCCAGGAGGTCATCATGTCCTCCTCAGATGAGGAAAGTGGGGCTTGGAGACACGAAGTGACTGCCCAAGGTCGCAGAGCCAAATAGACTCTTCCAAGATTGGTTCTCTCTTACACAGGATCTTGTGCTGGATCCTACGTGGCTTTGCCCAGTTGGCAGAATCTGGAGCATCACCGAGTGATAACAACAATGATCATCAGAGCTGACATTTAGCAAGTGCTTGTGAAGAGCCAGGACTCGTTTTAAGCACTTTGCATATACTAACTCATCCAGGTCGGGGGAGGAGTTTTAGATGTGAAGCCCCAGAAATCCCACAGTGCAGGCAGCTGCTCACTCTGTGTACGGGACTGCATGGATCCCCTGAGTTGGCTGTGGCCAGATTTGCTGGCAGGCACCCACAAATCCATGAGTTCAGGACGTGATCCCACCTCTCCATGGGATTACAGAGGGCTGGGAGACGACGCCTGCCTCTTTCCCGCCATATCCCTCTCCAGCTGAAACTCAGTGTGGGCACCTGGAGGGCGGGCCAGCCCCGTGGCTGTGAGTGTGGACTTTGGGGTCAGTGCAGACTGAGGTCCGTAGTCTGGTGCTGTCACTCACCAGCTATGTCTCCTCGGACAAGTCGCTCACTTCTGAGCCTGGCTTACCCATCTACCAAGTGGGGCAAAACGTGCAGCAGAATAGAATAGACAGAAGCACAGGCTCTTAAATGGGACTGCCTGGGTTTGCATCCGGGCTCTGCTACCCACCTGCTGTGTGACCGTGGACAAGTGACTCAGCCTCTCAGTGCTCCATTTTCTCATCAGTCAAATGGAGATGACAATGGCCCCTACCTCACAGGGCTGTTGAGAAGATTAAATGAAAAAATACTTAAATGTAAAACTCTTAGAATGATGCCTAGAACATAGAGACCATTTAATAAACGTTGGTTCTTATTATTACTTGTATTTTTCAAGCCCAGCTCGAGAACCTTCTCAGTCTGGACACCTTCCACCATTGCCCTCACCCCATCCACCCTACTGGTCCCAGCCCCAATGGATCAGCAACCCCACTGGCCGGGCCAACTCCTAGCTCCTGCTTGATCCCATCTTAGGTCATGGACCACTGTCTCCGTGTCTGCATCCCTCTAGACAGTGAGCACCTGCAGGTCGGGGACTGCTCTGTCCTGTTCCCTGTATCTCCAGTGCCTGGCAAAGTACCGGCACAAAGTAGGTGCTCATTAAATGTTTGTTAAGCTGTTAATAATAATATGGTTGTTAATAAGACTAGTCACACCTTACATTGAGTGCTTCCTCTGTGCCAGGTAACCATGCCAAGCTCTCCATAGATACTATCGCCAGTCCTCACCACAATCCCACAAGAGGGATACGATTAGCTCAGATTTTCAGAAAGAAAAATAGAAGTCAGTGGGTCTAAGTGGCCCACACCAAGTGGCTGTGCCAGGATGTGAACTCAGGTTTCAAAGCCCTGGTCTTTTCCTTTATATCAGGGGTCGGCAAACTTCTCCTCTAAGGGAACAGATGGTAAATATTTTCAGCTTTGCAGGCCATGCAGTCTCTGTCACAACTACTCAGCTCTGCCACTGTAACACAAAAGCAGCCATGGACAATATGTAAATGAATGGCTGTGGCCGTGTGCCAATAAAACTTTGTTTTTCAAAACCAGCGGCAGGCTGGATCTGGCCCTCCGGCTGTAGGTGGCGGCCTCTCGTGTTATGCTACGTGCTGTTCATTGCAGGTCACCGTGGATGGCATCCCAGACCCTCCTGGAGTTCCAGCCCTCCAACCAGAGCCAGCTCTCGCCTCCAAATGCCACGTCCTGTGACAATGCTCAGGAAGCCTGGGACCAGCTGCACAGAGTGTTACCGACATTTATCGTCACCATCTGCTTCTGCGGCCTGCTGGGAAACCTCTTCGTGCTGTCCGTCTTCCTCCTGCCCCGGCGCCGTCTGAACGTGGCGGAAATCTACCTGGCTAACCTGGCGGCCTCCGATCTGGTGTTTGTCTTGGGCTTGCCCTTCTGGGCCGAGAACATCCGGAACCAATTCAACTGGCCCTTCGGAGCCCTCCTCTGCCGCTTCGTCAACGGAGTCATCAAGGCCAATTTATTCACCAGCATCTTCCTGGTGGTGGCCATCAGCCAGGACCGCTACAGTGTGCTGGTGAATCCCATGGCCAGCCGGAGGCGGCGGCGGCGGCGGCGGGCCCAGGCCACGTGCGTGCTCATCTGGGTGGTGGGGGGCCTCCTGAGTGTCCCCACGTTCCTGCTCCGCTCCGTCAAAACTGTTCCGGAACTGAACATCTCCGCTTGTGTGCTGCTGCTCCCCCACGAGGCCTGGAACTTCGCAAGGATCGTGGAGTTAAACGTGCTGGCTTTCCTCCTGCCGCTGGCCGCCATCGTCTTCTTCAACTACCACATCCTGGCCTCCCTGCGAGGGCGGGCGGAGGTCAGCAGGACGAGGTGCGGGGGCCTCCCGGACGGCAAGACCACGGTGCTGATCCTCCTGCTCGTGGCTACCTTCCTGGTCTGCTGGGCCCCCTACCACTTCTTTGCCTTCCTGGAATTCCTGTTCCAGGTGCAGGCTATCCGAGGCTGCTCCTGGGAGAACTTCACCGACCTGGGCCTGCAGTATGCCAACTTCTTCGCTTTCACCAACAGCTGCCTGAATCCAGTGATTTACGTCTTTGTGGGCCGGCTTTTCAGGACCAAGGTGTGGGAGCTTTATAAACGATGCACCCCTAGGAGTCTTACGCCGATGTCCTTGTGCCATAGGAAAGAAATCCTCCACCTTTTCTGGCGGAATTAAAACAACAGTGAGCCAAGAAGCTTGGCTTCCTCGTCAGTTATTTCTGATGTAATAAATACTACTGTGGTAGGCTGAACAACAGCCCTGAGATAAGGAGGACCTAGTCCCTGGAAACTGTGAATTTATTTATGGTAATGGGGACTTTGCAGACGCAATTAAGCTAAGAATCTTGCAATGGGGAGATTATCCTGGATTATCTGGGTGGGCCCAATGTAATCACAAAGACTTTTATAAAACGGAAGCAGAAATGTCAGAGTCAGAGAAGGCAATGTGACAACAGAAGCAAGAGGTCAGAGTGACGCCAGGAAGGGGCCAGGAGCCAAGGATGGCAGACGTCCCCTGGAGGCTGGATAAGGCAAGGACATGGATTCTCCCCAGGAGCCTCCAGAAGGAACCAGCCCTGCTGACATCTAGACTTTAGCCCATTGGGACTGATTTTGGATGTCTGGCCTCCAGAACCATAAAATAATAAATTTGTGTTGTTTTATGTCACCAAGTTTGTGGTCATTTGTTATAGCAGCCACAGGAAATTAATACACATTTCCAGTAAGGGTCTCATCACATTTCTACTTGCCCATCCAAAATTTTCTAAGTGAACTGCTAGGAATACAGAGATGATAAAGCTCGAGATCCTACCCACAAGGAACTCACATAGATCTAAATAATTACAGTATAGAAAAAGTAAGTGATAAATCCCACGAACACGCCATAGATCCAGTACCTTGAGCATTCAGAGGGAAAGGGGATGGGTTCCTTCTGGGGTTATCAGAAAAGACGTTGTGAAGGTTGTGAACTGTGAGCTGAGCATTACAGGAGTGGAATCTGGATACATGGAGAGGGAGGAAGGGCTGGGGGAGGCATAACCGAGACACAAATGTAGAAAAGTGTGGGTCCTCGTGGACGAATATTCCTTGAACACTTACTGCATCAGCACTCCTCTTGATACTAGGGACCCAATGGTGAACCTGAAAATGTCTGCCTTCAAGGAGCTCGCGGCAACATAATTAGGAGATTGCCATAGGGCAGGACAACTGCCCCCATCAGGGTGGGGGAAGGTGCTCTGAGAGCACACAGAAGGGGCGTCCAGCCTGGTGGCTGGGAGGTGATGGTTAGAGAGGGTGTCCAGGGGGAAGAGACATATGAACCAAGCAAAATAGGCAAAGGAGCGTTCCAGATAGAGGAAACAAGCCAGACCCAGAGGCAGGTGGGTTCATAGGTTAGGAGGGAGAAGGATGAAGGAAGGTGTACGAGGCAGTCATGGAGGGATCTGAGGTCTGAGGAGAATGGAGATGTTGGGAGGATCTGCGATGGTCCAGGACGGAGAGGAAAGCGTGGAGGTGTCCGGGGGGCTTAGAGGGCCCACTGAAGCTAGAAAGCGTGAATTTCTTGTGTGAATTGCTCTAGAATGCTCAGCAGGCCCCCAAAAAGCAGGCAGTTGGATTGCTCCAGAGTTGGGATTTTGCCGGATGGACGGCCGCAGTTCAAGGGTGTTGGGAATACCGGTCAGACCACAGGGAATGCTGAGTTAGGGAAGGAAGTGAACACAGGAGGGCGAAGCAGAGTGCCGTTGACGTGGTTAAAGAACAGGTGCAGTGAGAACACCCACGTGATGGAGCAAGAAGAATCAGAGGCTGTGGCCGCAGAGCAAGAATGTCTGCCTGGAACGTTCCAGAGGTGGAGCCATCCCAGGAAATGACAAGGACAAGTGTGGCCATGGCAGTGGGTGGTTGCACAGAGGGAAGGGGAAGGTCATTGGAGACAAGACAGTCAAGGAATGGAGAGGTGGGGGACGGGCTGTCCCTGCAGGCAGGCAGGATGCTGGAAGGACTGGGGAGGGGAGAGCCGGTGGGCCAGGTGCCAAGGTCAGTCTCTACGGAATGGTGGGGGAGGGGATGTGCAGCCTCCACGGCTGCATGGGAAGGGCCAGTCCTCATGGGACAGCCAGTGTTCCATGAGCCTCTGAGAGGCTGGCAGAGGCTGAGCCACCAGGACCTCACAGGCCATTGGGGAGAACGCTTTGATCAGCACTGCAGCCCCTGTAGATTTCGTGGAGAGCAGAGTGTGGTTCACATGGCCTGGATTTAGGGCAACAAGCAAGATCTAGCCTGCACACGTGGTTCATTTGGACCACAGGGTGTTTAAAAATGTTTTTGCATTGGTTATCAATATTCAATCCACATTAGAATCCAGATTTCGGGCTCCCTTGAACATCTGGAAGCTCTAGCAACACTGAGTCTGCATTTATTCGTTCAGCTGACATCTACCCATCATCTGCTTTGCGCAGGGCACTATTGCAGGCAGGGGAACACGGGGGGGGGGGGGGAAGCAACACAGAGGAACATCCTGGTCCTTGGGGTTGACCTGCTGCTGTGCCCCAGGGCACTAGTTCCCCTGTGGCCAGGACAGCCCCTCCCCAGGGCAGAGTCTGCAGTCACCTGGCTTGCGTGCCTCCAATGCCAATGCAATTTCTGAGCCCCCGGGCAGAGTCTGGTGAGCAGAGGGCCTGCAGTGAAGTGGCAAGAACAGGCAGGGATCTCAGGCAGGAACAGAGTTGGAAAAAGAAAGTAATGCCCAGTCCCTCCTCTGCTGCGAGGGAACTGACCCAAATATGCCCTCTCTCCTTTCTCAGCCCTTGCATTAAACTTATGGCTTATAAAAATCCCTTCTATAGGTTGCAAAAAAAACTCCCACATTCTAGAAGAGTGCGCTGGCCTGAGAAATCAGAACATTGCTCAGAGCCTGCAGTTCAATGGTAGACTGTCAACAGGATCCCTGATAAACCAGACGCCTGATTGATGGAATGCACGTGACATTCACCAAAGCCCAGCGCATAGCCCCGCAGCTGGACAGAAATCGGCAAACCCCACAGTAAGGACTCTGTTGCCCTTCTATTGGGAAGGTCAATTATTCATTTGCAGAGGAAGGAATTCCTGCCTTGGTTAAAAGGATCAGTGCTGTGGGAGAAATTCATGTCTTTGAGTTCCCATGGATCTGGTTGAGGTGCTCACCTGGAGTATTTCACTCCTGGGTCCGGGCCCAGGCCTCACCTTGTAGGGTTAATGCCTGGGTGGAGGGATGGCTTAGCAAACGGTCTTCCAACATCCCTGGCTCCAGCACCCACGTGGGCTCCCACCTTCTCTCTGGGAAGGGCCAAGTAGAGACACCAAGTAGAGAAGTGGATTATTCTCCAATCCACTTCCAGCTTCGGGCCTTTCGTGCGAGTCCACGGCTGCCCGCCTCCCTCCCCCGCCTCATCCATCACCCATCCATCACAGGCACTGAGCAGCGCTAAGCCCCTCAGATCCCAGCCTGGGAGAGTCCTGGATGTTGCAATGGACACAGGCAGTTTCTTGTTCTCCGGAGATGAGTCACGAGCTTGATGAGGAGCAGGTGAGAAGTTTTCTCCCATGAGCTAGAAGAGGCTTTATATATCAAAGTGAGTGCGTGTCAAACTGGTGAAATCTGAATCAAATCTGGAAAACTCTATCAATGTCAATTTCCTGGTTGTGATATTGTACCATAGCTAGACAAGATGCTACCATTGGGGGAAACTGAGTAAAGAGTACAAGAGATCTTTCTGTATATCAAACAAAAAGTTTCAAAAAGAAAATGTCATCATGTCCAACCCTTCCATTTTACAGTTTCTATCAGAAACTGAGGCCCAGAGATGGGCAGAGACTTGTCCAAGGTCACCTGGTGAGCTGGACTCCTGGGAGAGGGCTCTGTCCAGACCCAGGGATGCCCACGAGGCTGTGAGGACAGAGAAGAGGCCTGAGTGCCAGGGATCCCACCATTTGAGTCATCTTGATGGTGGCAGGGACTCCCGGTGGCTGGGGTTGGATTTAAGGCAGTGAGCAGGAAGCCAGGCCTTCTTTCCCTGCTTCAGGGAACTAAAAAGTATCAGAAGGGTCAGTAGGGGCTCAGCGAGTATAAGGGGAAGACACTTCAGTGTTTTAGTGGACAGGGAGCTCAGTGTGCTGTGGCTGCCAACATAGCTGCTGGGCTCTTGGGCTTCATTATTAGGAGTATTGCATCTACAATGAGGGAGGTGATATCCCATTTGGCTTAACAATCGGCAGGGTACATGAGGAGTATTGTGTCCAGCTCTTGGGTGATTCAGAAGAAAGGGATCCGACTGGTGTAGGGACTCGATATCATACCCTCTGTGACACAGTGAGGGCCTGAGAGGGCTTCCCTGAAGAAGATAAGACTTGTGGGGAGAGGGGAACAAATAAAACAAATAGTGTGACCCCAGTAGGACCAAAGAGAAAAACTTCCGGCTTAGTCTGAGGAAGAGCTTTCTGATATGCAGAGCTGTCCTATGATAGAACGCTGCCCCATGATAGTTGTCCCATGAATAACAGTGGTTTCCCTGTCCCCAGAAGTGTCCCAGCAAAGCTGCATGGGACAGGATGTTGCAACAAGGATCTTAGAAGCATCTTCAGCACACTCACTGTTGAGGAGCCCACCGTGTGCTGGGGGCAGACAAGAAAAGAGATCACTTCTTGGAGTGAGACGTGTGATCACGGGGTCACAGGCTACCTGGGAGGAGTCTGAGAAGGAAGGGTGTACAGAGAAGGTAACCCCAAGCAGGGTCTTGAAGGTGAGGAGGACAACGAGGGTGTTGCCCCCTGCAGCCTCTGTCACCCAAGTTCTCAGCCAATAACATCAAGGCTGGAAGAACTATGCCAAGGCTAAGAGGTCAATGTTCCCTCGAGGCCCTGAGTGTCAATGGAGACTCTGAGCAGGGGAGTCAGTTTAGAGTGATCACTCCACTGGAATACGGATGATGGCTTACAGAGCACATCAGTTATCTACTGCTGCCTAACAAATGATTTGAAACAACCACCTTAGCTCACAGTTCTGTAGTCCGGGGCTGGGTTCAGCTGGGTGGTTCTCCAGCTGGTCTGGGCTGAGTTACTTATGATCTGTGATCAGCAGCCAGTGAGTCAGGGGCTCTGTTTCTGAGGGTTGAGCAGGAGGCTGCAGCGATGCAGAGCCAACCTCAGATGGAGTTAA